TTTCATCAATACCACCATCAACTAATGAATATGATCTTCGGAATCAAAGAATATCAACGAGATTATTTCTTATTTCTTTAATTCTAATAATGACTATTCTTATAACATATAATGCGTCGATAAATGTTCCCAAAACTATCACTATTGATAAACCCACTCTTATGCAATATTTAGATTTATATTCAACACATTCAGAAATTTTAACTTGTCCATGCACAACAATATCCATTGGGTATGAAAAATTTGTTCATATTCAATATACATTACATCAAGTATGCAATAGTACTTTTGTCAATAATAGTTATATTGAGAATATTTTTTGGCAAAATTCAACTATTACTATAGGTTTTCCAAATTTTTTTATAACATATCCTTATATACTCAATGCTCTAGCTTTATTTTGCCAATTAATGGATAACATACTATCTGATAGTTTGATTGAATTCTATTCAAATCAATATTTAAGTGTAACTGTTACATCTAAACAGTTATTTGAATTACAAGTACAAGCATCATTTCAACAATTTATCATTTCAAAAATAAATGATTTACTATTTATTATGCAATTCATACGTGATACAACTCAAGCCAATAATTTTTTCTCTGGAATATTGACAAATTATGATTTTGAATTTGTACTTTCTAGCTATTATCAGGATACCACACTTTTACAACCAATACCATTTGAATTATCTAATTGTAGCTGTATGCTTTCAGCGTTATGTACTGAACAAGCAGTTATTTATGACAATGACTACAATAATAATAGTTCATTTATAGTTCCAGGTTTATATGTTGGATGTTATATAGTTGAAGCATTATTACAATCTACTTTAGAATGTTTTTTTAATCAAACATGTCTAAATATTTTACAATCATATGGGGGATTTTCGTCATTTATGAATGTCTTACCACTTAATTCATCATTATCTAGTCGATATAATGAAACATCAACTATAGAAGAACTTGTTAATGAATTAATGATTGAAAATTGGAATTTATCTATCATATATGAGAATTATTATAACGGTTGTCAACCAACACAATGCAGTTATAGTTATATAGCTAAGAATAATGCAATTTATATTGCTACTATGATATTTGGTTTAATTGGTGGTCTAATGACAATTTTGCAATGTTTTATACCAAGATTAGTTCGATTGATTAAACCCTGTTTTTGGAAAAGGAGAATTGTTCCTGAAATGCCTGTTGTTCAAGCTTAATTTCAACTTTATATATATATACCTATTGACATTTATATGCCTTCAGAATACAAATAAATAATATATAACTTTTGCTTTTGCTTTTGTAAACAGTGATACTCACATAATCAGCTTGCCGTAAAATTTTTTATTGTAATCTATTTAAGAAAATAAATATTATTAATAAAATTTAATAGTTCTTGATGGTGTGGGCGTGGATGTGACGGGTGTAAGTATATCTATCTTCTCTTAATATACACTCACACCCTTAAGTACACTTAATTATACTTGAGCACGTCAACAATGTTTTTATTTTCATTTTGATCTTTGACGCTACGATCAATATACATGCAACTTTATTATATTTCATACGACTCTTCTTTCTTTTGAGAGAACAGTCAAAGAAAAATGACAGAGGACACCTATCTTAACTGCTATTTGTAATAACTTTTCTTATCTTATCTATTGTATGACAGTAGAGGAAAGAAAAGAAGGTATAGAAGTTTTCAGTCATATTTTACCTTCACACGAAAATAGGTAGAATAAAAATACTGAATATCAACAGTAACTCATGATTTTTTTTTCTTCATGTGGAAGGTAGTTTGTATTGATAGCATTGATAAAAATCTATTTTTTTATGTTTAGTGTCGACATTAAACGATATGTTTGCCGTTAATGGCCAAAGTAAGTTATTTTTTGTGCTTAATATCAAAACATCATTTTAAAGTTAGTATAAAAGTATAAATAATATTATTATTATAAAAAAAACCATACGTACAGTGAAGAGAATATCAATAAAGTTCTAATAACTCTACTTTTTAAATAAACATTGAGAATGTTATAATACTTTATGTTGAAACTGTCAGCTTCCTTTCGTTTCAGATTTTCTTTTACAATTGTTGAAGAAGATTAATGGGGGATAAAAGATGGCTTATCATCGATTTTATGAGTCTTTATTTCAAATCGTGTATTTTACTTTGAGCATATTCGTTTCTCATAAACCATAAGATTTAAATAGAGTTGTATACGCTACAGAACTTTCAACAGATCATTTACTCCGTTTTGTAGAAGTATCGATATGAAGGACATTTAATTTCAATGAATAGAAGATGATAAATATTACTATTTAGTTAATTTTAAATCCTAAACAAACTATCCTCTATCTTTTTTTAGATATCAAACTAATTAAACTGCAATTACTATGTCAATGAGTGATGCCTACAATGTTTACGATACAATTCAATTCATATCAGCTCTTGGAGTTAAAAAAGCCAAACAATCAATTGATCATATGATAATTAAATCTGTTTTAGCCGGTGTTCTTCTATCATTTAGCGGTTTATTCATGCTGACTGTTGGTGGTGGAGGTGCTCCAATAGAGCAAAATCTTGGTCCTGGTGTACTCAAAATGGTACAAGCTGCCGTATTTCCTATTGGTCTTATTTTAATTGTTATTACTGGTGGTGAATTATTTTCTGGTAATATAATGACATTGGTTGTGTCAACATTACATGGAAAAACAAAATGGCATCATATTATTATTTCATGGATTGTCTCTTTTCTCGGAAATCTTGTTGGTTGTATATTTTTTCAATATATATTTGTTTATTATGCAGGTCTTCTCACTCATGATCCTTATCGTTCATTTACTGTGCATTTGGCTGAGACAAAGGGTAGTACTCAATGGCATCAATTATTTTTAAAAGGTATTGCTGGTAATTGGCTTGTATGTCTAGCAATATGGTTGGGTACAAGTGCACGTGAATTAGTTTCGAAAATAGTCGGTGGTTTTCTACCTCTCTGGTTATTTGTTGCCGTTGGATATGAACACGCAATTGCCAATATGTTTACAGTTCAAATGGGTATGATACTTGGTGCTAATTTATCCATTGGAAAATATATTGCTTGTGTAATGATACCTGTTACGCTTGGAAATATTTTAGGCGGTGGACTTTTTGTTGGTGTCACATATTGGTATCTTTATTTAATTGAAAAAGTCGACACTGAACTTAAGATTGATGCTAAACTACCAGTCAGTAATACTGATGAAATCATAGGAAAAAATGAGACAATAGTTGAAATTCAGGAATTGTAATTCCATTGTTGTTAATTTACTTGCAATAGGAAACTGTATAAAATTGTTATAAATTAAAATAGTTCGATGGAGCATCCTCGAAGAGGAAACAAACCGGTTTTTTTCTATTTCTATTGAATTCTTAAAGTTTTCATGATGTGTTATAATTTTTAATGTTCTTTTATAACTGAATGAGAATGAGGATGAATGAACATAAGATTTATTCATTCACAAAATCCAGTTTATCGGAAGTTTAAAGAATTAAATAATAATAGTGAAAAATCTATAACAGAAGAAAATTCAATTGCAATAAATATTAAATAATAAAATAATCGGTCATGTTTGGCTTAATGATAACTACGAAGATGCTATGCAACTATTATCACATGATTATCAGAATATTCAAAAAAGATCAAATTATTACATTGAAATATTGTATTTTTCTATTTCTTAATGAACTTATTGGAAATGAGAACCATAATATCGTTTGGTTTTTGACAACAACAAATTAATTCCAGCAAAGTTCTGCACTGAAATCATCATCTACTCATGCCCTCTATGATTTCATTTTTTCATTCCAAAAGAAATATATTAAAGAAACTATACACAACTGTATTGCTTGTTGGTATTGTACACATAACAAAATGTAAAGAAAGAAAAAAACTTGCGTCGTTCGATTTTGAATTTCGTCGACATGAGAATACGTCCGTCATAGCATATACTGAATTTTAGAGAATTGCGTCATAAGACGTTTTTCTTGTCGTCGAAGGAAAAAAGTGATGCAACTAATCGAAAAATTGAGTAAGATTTTATTTTTATATAAATTGTTGTTATAGATTTGTGTGATGTTAGACTAAATATATATTTGTGTGTAATGGACAGCCCAATCTTCCTTCAATGGCAGCAATGGGAATCTCGAGTGCAAGAATGGTTAAATCAACCTGAAAATGAATTAGATTTGCTGGATACTACCTCCTTCGATCGAGTGATATTGACTATCTTGGCTATAAAATATGAAGCTTTGTATCAAGATATGAGCCCAGAAACCAGATTCGCTGTCACGAAGCAACATGGTGAGCGTTTATCTACCGTTCGACTTTCAAAAACCAAAGTATCAGAAGTGGAAGAGCCAAAAGAAGATGACCAAGCTAAATCAAACCTATTCAACAAATTCACCGATCGTATTTTAAGTCCGCAACAAGTGAGTATTGAAACTTCATCAGAATGGCAAGAGTTTGATCAATTATGTAAATGGCATGGAGTAGCATTCGTCCAACGATTTGCACGATGTCTGCCTCAGTTTCTCGTCGAATTAATATCTATGACTTCGGCATATCAGGAATTAATTCACAAGAGCGCTATAGTTTCATCTATACCTGGAATTGCGAGTCAGGTTTATCGAAAGAACAATATCGGTGAAATTTTTCTCAGTATTGATATGAAATCCGCAAATTTTGCTATGCTCCAGCACATACATGCCATCGATGCTCATATGTATCCGAATTGGTCGGAGTTTTTATCGGTATTTGTCGGACAAAGATCTTTAGTCATAAACAGCAAAAAATTACGACAGCAATCCTTGGGTCGTCTGCCTGAGTTTTACAAACTAGAAGCACTTTGGAAACATTTTATGGGTAACATTTATCAAACGATACTTTGTCCCTGTTTGGATGAAAACGGCGTCGAAGCGCAGTGCGTCGCTTTAACCGGGGACGAAGTAGTATTTCATCTAAATTCAACAATGAACACAGACGAAGTGCTCAACTTAGTGGAGCAAGTGCAAAAATGCCTTGTAAAAGATAATTCAAGCGTGAAATTTTGTGTACAAGCATATCATATCCAGATGTTTCACTGGGAAAAGAAACATATGTGTTTTGCACGAATGTTTATTGGTGAAAGTAAAGAAAAGTCTGATTTGAAATGCGTACCTGACAAAGATAAAAACTATGAACAAGCCTATAAAGATTTTCAGGCGTATTGTGGCCTATGACACTACATTCTATTTTTCTGCATACTTTAACGATTTTTCTAGAAATAAAATAAATTTTATCGCTGTGTAAGGATCTCAAATGATAAAATGGTTGCAAATCGTATTTTTTTAGATAAAATATAGAATTTAAACACGAGTAATGGATAAACTTTCTACATTATCCACGCGCACTTTCAAACAAGTAAGTCGAGACGACGAACGTTAATTGCAGCTAATAGTCAAATAATATTAATATGAAATTCGGAAGAGAAAGAAAAGTATTCTATATCATTGCAGCATTCGTGATGAAATATGCACGTGTCATATTTGCAATGTTGACGTGTATGCTTCCTTTCTACGACATGATATTTCACCTCTTTATCGGTTAGTTACAAATATGTTGTGTAATAATTTTTTCACGTATAAAACGACAGAATACGTGAGAGAAAAAGCTATTTCATAGACAGTACGAAAAAAGTTAAATCGTCGACAATCAAACTCTGTGTATCTATTCCAGTAAACCATTTATATCAAAGACTAATATTTAAAATAGTATAAGTAAGCTTAAAAAATTCGACGTATACTTTTATTTAAATTGACTGTTTAGTGTTTCGTGGACGTGGCCGTGGTCGTGGAACAAGCCGAGGCCGAGGTGGTCGAGGAGCAAGCAGAGGTCGTGGTAGAGTCAACACTCGTGGCAATTTTCGTGGAAGGTCTCGATTTGTCCCTCCTCAATCAATGAATATTGAGCAACAAACAATACCAGTCAATCCTCCAGTGGATCTTGATATTAATGTTGATGCTAAACCATTTTTTGTTAATGCAAATGTTACAGTCGATCAACATATCCAAGCTCAAACAACAAATTTACCTCGTTATTTAGCTAGTTTATTTGCACTCAATGAAAATAGTGTCGAAATTGGACAGAAAGCTAAAGCTTGTGTATTAGCTGCTGCTTGGGGTCGACATGATCATAAATTAGCGAATGATCTTTTACGTCATCGACATTTATTTACTCTCACTGAAGTACTTAAAGCAGTGACTATGCTAGATGCTGGTCGACAAATTCGAGTTTATGAAAAACAACTTAAACGTCTAGAATTAAGTAAAACAAAATGTAAAGCAACAAAATTAGGTAAAATTAAAAACAACATTGATAATTTAAATAAACTCAAAGTATCAAATGGATCAGCTAGTGGTGGTATTGCTCGACATATTCAACGTTGGACTCGAACATTAACTCAACAAGAACTTGAATATTTTGCATTACATATGCCAACAGAACCATGGAGAAAATTAGCTGATATTGTTCATTTTAATCCTACTAAAGATTTTCCAGCGTTACCATGGTTTTTACCATTTTGTTTTGGTACACCAGCACCGGACGAAACAATGGTCAATCGTTGTCGAGATTTAACAGCTGTTAATATCAATAATTTAATTAAAGAATTTAAAATTCCTTATTCACATTTAAAACAATTCAAAGAACATTTAAATGATGAATCAAAAGCAAGAATTGCCTCATATGAAGAGAAAGTAGATACTATTTTATGGTACTATGAAGATTTAGAATGTCCAGATGTAGATGAAATTATTAGTGAAAGAATACGAAATGGTGAACGAATTACTTTACCATACGGGAAACTTATGGATCGTCTTTTACTTATTCGTACATTACGAGATAATCAACCGGATATTCCAACATTCTATCGAAACAACGAATATAACCGTGGGCGAGGACGCGGACGTGGTCGAGGACGTGGTTTTGGCAATGCTAATAATCAACATTCACTTCAATCGAAAAAATCTACACTTTATTCAGACTTAATATCAGTAGCCGAAGCTCAACTACAAACGATTAAATTACCATTAGAATCACCAGTTGGTGTTCTTGCTGATGCATCGTATTCCATGGAAATTGCTATACGTACAGCGACGATTCTTTCATCATTATTAACAGCAATCTGTTCAGCAAAATTGACTTTCTTCCATGGTGAAATGTTTCTTCCATCATTTACACCAAAAAATGTTGAAGATGTTCTTACACTAGCATTAACAACAAATGTTGGTGGAGGCACAGCAAATGCTGCTGCTCTTTTACCATATTATCTTAATAGAGAAATTATTAAAACCTTTATTATGGTAACAGACGAAGAAGAAAATGAAAGTATTGAATTAATTGATGGAACAAAAACACGATTCTTTAAATTATTTATGAAATATCGTGAAGAAGTTTATCCAGCTAAATTAGTATTCATTTCATTTCTTGCTCATCAACATGATCTAGGTCAAATGTATAAACAATTTCAAGAAGCGAATGTACCCGATGTAACTCAAGTAAGGAAGACATTATTTTCAATCTTGTTTTCTGTTAACTATAATTATGTGTTTTTCTTTAGTTTAAATTTAATCGAGAACGTCCAGATTTAACAAAACTTGATAATCTCTTAGGTTTGTTATCGACTGGATCATCAGGTTTATTTGAAGATCGAGTAGGAAAATTACAAAATGATTTTCAACAAGATGGTGTTAATTCAGTTCTGATGAAGTTACTTAATAAACAAGACGAGAATGCTGTTCCAATGGAATCAGAAATAACTACGGCGACAACAAACTAAACTTTTCTCATTTTGTTTTTTCAGTTTTATTTTCTACTAAATTATACAATTTTAATAAACTATTTGAATATATATCTAGAAATAATATTTGCCAGATACATGCGAATGCTGAGAGGAGATAGATGAATATAGAAGAAAAAGATACTGATATCCATACCCTTATTACGTGTTTGTATTTTTTTTATTCTCTTTTCTTTTTCTCTGTGCCTCTTCTATTTCAATGCATGTCAAACATTCACATCTATTATGGTATGAAAGAGTGGGAAATATTTTATAAGAGTGAATCGGATACATACTTTTGTTTTTGTTTTCTTCTGTTTTTTTTACAAAAGTGTATTAGTTGTGTTTAGTGAAGACAATACAATTGTTACTTTTATCAAGTGTTTCTTGTTTCAAATTCAGATACTATATTATCTCAAATTACATCAGATGATGGTGGATATAAACTCACTATAGAATTACAAATATTTATTGTGAAACCTTTTTCAGCAGATGTACACGAGTGAGATATATTGTCGTTTCAATTATATTAACTAATCCGAATTTGTTTTTAATATTTACCTCATAAGAAATACACCACTAGAAAGAGCATGAAAAGACAACTATATCAGAGTACTGCGTTTTCTGTGCTATTTTTCTTCTTTCTAGTCATATATGTTCACATATAGAGCATTTGTGTGTAACGTATACAACCCTAGAATAAAAGTTATGATCGATATTTGGAAAGCATAAGATATTTTTGATTACATCCATACACTACTAATATAAGTTGAGTATAATGAAGACATTCTCAATTGACAGTACGAAAAATTTATACTTTTGACTATTTTCTTTGTTTTCTTCATTCACTTGTAGGTTGTAAATGAGATAATTTTTTTTTAAAACTATTTTTTAATAGAGCTTTACATTATGTATCGCTTTGCTTTATTTCACATTTGTGCTGAGAAATAAGTGATCTATTACAGAGGTATATTCCTTGATAAATCATAAAAATTTGAATTTTCCCTATCATTCTCACTTCTAATTCCAGTTTAATATAACTTTTACTATGACTATCGATATAATTATTCAAATTTAATTTTTCTTTCACAAATGAAAACAGCTTAATTTTTGTTTTAAAGCATCTTTGTTTCTCACTATAACAATTAGTTTAGTCTTTAAAATCGAGTGTAGCTTCTATATTATTATTCAAATATAAGAATACAGTGTATTTTCGAGCGATAGCACTTTCATTAATCTTTGGAATGTAAGATAGTGTGAGAGTGTGAGGCATAGGTGCAGATCAAGAGCACAAACATCTACACTCACTTAACTTCAAGATGTTTTCTAACGATTTCTTGCAATGTATGGATTAGAATAACCGAAAAAATAGTTTAGATTTAATAGCAAGAGCATGTGATGAAAAGGTGAGTTTTTCGTCATATTAGTGTTGTCATTCGCTCAGTTAGCAATGTATTAACAAACTCTGAAATGACGCTTTCAATAATTAATTATTTAGAAAAAAAACTTAGTAGTTCTTAAAACGTATTAGTTCCAAACGAGTTGAATGAGAGAATAAATATAACTGTTACCATACATTAATTTCAGATTCTTAATTATTTGGGATTAGTGATCACTTCTTCATTTGGAATAGCATATCATCGAAGCAGTAACGACTTCAGCGAACAAGACGATGACAAAATCAACATCCATCAATACACCGAGAATATCAGACGAGACTGACGAAAATCATGTGATTAAGAATATACGAAAATGGCTCATTTCTTTCAGTTTTACTGCATTCGTAAGTATATCGCTTCTAATCTATTCTTGTGAAATAGTTTTGAGGGATGATATGACGTTTGAATCACTGAAAAATTCATATCTGTTCTTCTCTCTTATGAGGGTGTGAGTGAGGATGCAAGATAGTGAGACTATGAGCAACAGTAGAGACGTGAGCTATTCTTCTTGGACAATGCCAGCCTCTAGCCACATCCTCACTCTCTCGATCAGTATGCTCTTGGTTGAAATATAGATCGTCGAAAATCAAAGTGTTATAGTTAATATCTTGAGTAATATACGATCAAACAATATTCGACGATCTTTATTTTAATAAAGTTCACTCAGGCGATCTCATTTACAATGATGAGCATTAAAATCACTCTTGCACCATCAAGAGACTTGTTTCACTGACTTTTCAATTCTTAACATCTCTTTTTAAGATTGTAGGCATGATCATTTTCATTCGTGGGGGTCGTTCAATTCACCATGATTACAAATCGGACAATATATCATATGAATTTCTATTGGCGTTAAAGATCGCTAGCTGGATTATACAAGGTAAATAATCTAGTCAATTGACTATCAATAAATTAACAACACTTGAACTTGGTTAAAATAATCATTTTTTACACAACTAGGCATCGCGGTGGTCTTTTGGTTGATCATATTTCTTCTCTCGATCAAGAACTACGTTCGAATCGGTATCCTAATGGTAATTCTTTTACATTCAATTCTTTTCTTCGTTTTTCTTTGATAATAATTTGCCTTCTGTTTCATTGCAGGCACGTTGGGTCCTTCTCTTTTATGGCATATATTATTCAATTGTTGGTCTAACTTCTACAATTATTACAGTTTTAATTGAAATGCCTCTCATAATTCCCATCTGTTTTGCTGTTGGAACAGTAGTTTTCAGTGGACTTTGTGTAAGAATATCTTTGCTTTTGTCATTTTTATTCTAATAGTGTTTTTTTTACAGTTTTGTTTATCTTATTTCTGGCGTGAAATGGGTCGCTTGGTAAAAAATCATGAAAGTCCAACAAACGTCTAAGTGGTTTACAAAACTAACAAAATTATTGCACACATAACTTTGCTTATCTTTTATTTCGAATATTCAAATCTGTTGTACATGTTCGAAAAATGTTTCTGTTGTTAAACTTTACTATCTTGAAGGTATGGATGGAGATGGAATGAATAATTCAACATTTCCATTCAGACTCTTAAGATGCTTTATTTCATTTTCAATAGCTTGTTTATATAAACTGATATTCCATGTCGAGAAAATCGCCGCGATTTTGTCGATTTTTTTCAAAATCAGCGTAAAATCGTAATTAATTGCATTTTGAAGAAAAATCGATGATTAAATCAGGAACAATCGCGATTAATCGAAATCTTTTTTTCTATCAGGTGCAAAGTTTTTGTTATATTACTACAAGTGTGGCATATATATACTCATAACTTATATTTTAAATATATTAGACTATGTTTTCAGACGTTTATTCGCAATCAAAAGAATTATTATTAAATTTAATGTCAGCAGTATCGCATTCATTCGGTTGGGTAATCGTTATGTAGATCAACATCTAGACTATCCTTTGTAGTCATTAGTTAATTATGTATAATATATGAGCGTTTCAGCTGCCCTTTGCTGATTATTTTACTATCATATCATGATCATAACTATGATTTTAACAAATTTAGATTTTTTTTCGGCTGAATCTGGAGTTTTAAACTATCAAGTTATGTGTAAGGATCAAAATTTCAGGATTTTCACAACAAGTTCTATTTGGTCGAACTCACATGTCAATTGCAGTATACGTATACATATTATAACTCCAGTAGTGATGCTGGAAATTAATCTACAGAATCGATATCGTCAATACAACAAAACATCGATATTCCAGAAACAAATGAACAGTCTTCATAATAAAGTCAACTAAAAGATTAAACTTATGATATTTTAATGATTCATTATTTTCTAGCTATTGCAAAAAATAGTTATTCAGAATGCTAGATATTTTGTATGATTTTTCTGTGAACATTTAGTTATATTTACTTTTCTTTTATTGTAATTTCGTACATATTACTTAACTAATTTAGATGTTCTGTTATTATTGCTGTCTTTTTACATCTTCATATTCTGTGCGTATTGTAACTATGATTCTATACTATATCTCTTTATGTGTTGATTATAAGTTTTTTTTCTTTATCTATTGTATTTATATTTTATGAATGATACGTGTAGAGGAGTAAACATCATGTTTCATTATAATTCTTTTATTTTTATTATTAGTTCTATCGTAACGGATGATACAAATAGTTAATTATTTTCAAATAAAAAATAACTGAAAAATCTAAATGTATCCAATCAGTTTTTAATAAAAATACTGATTAATCACGATTATAAGACATTAAATCGGCGATATCGCGACAGTAATATTCTGAGTAATCAGCGATTAATCGACGATTTTCATGACATAGGATAATATCCATACCCTTAATACGTGTTTGTATTTTTTTTATTCTCTTTTCTTTTTCTCTGTGCCCCTTCTATTTCAATGCATGTCAAATACTCACATCTGTCACAGTATGAAAGAGTGGGAAATATTTTATAAGAGTGAATGGGATACATACTTTTGTTTTTGTTTTGTCCTCACTTTTTTACAAGGGTGTTATTTATGTTTAGTGAAGAGAATATAATTGTTACTTTTATCAAATGTTTCCTGTTCAGATATTATATTATCTCAAATTACATCAGATGGTGATGGATATAAACTCACTATAGAACTACAAATATTTATGATGAAACCTTTTTAGCAAACGTACACAAACCAGATATATTATCGTTTCGATTATATTAACTGATCCAAAATTTCTTTAATATTTACTTCATAAGAAATACACCACTAGAAAGAGCATGAAAAGACAACTCTGTCATAGTACTGCGTTTTTTGCTATCGTTCTTCTTTCTAGTCATATATGTTTACATATAGAACATTTGTGTGTAACGTATACAACCCTGGGGTAAAAATTATGATCGATATTTTGAAAGCATAAGATATTTTAGATTGCATCCATAGATTACTAATATAAGTTGAGTATAATGAAGACATTCTCGATTGACAAGTACGAAAAATGTATACTTTTCGTTACTCCCTTTGTTTTTTTCATTCACTTATGGATTGTAAATGATATAATTTTTCTTCTATAAATAACTTGAAAGTAAATTCTATATTTTTTTCAGAATGAGAGACAGAGAATGCAGCTTTTTCGTGTTGTTTATTTATTTTTTATACTTTAATAGAATTTTCGACCTTTTCAAGATGTTTTAACTCGAGTTCATCATCAGTACAGTAACAAGAAAAAGACATAGAAATGAAAATATTCTGATAGTGAGATTGGATTATTAAAAAAGTACGTAAAAAATACTAATGAAAATCAAAAGATTATCTAATTTTAACTTCAAACTTGCTTTTTGCATCAAAATGAGATTCAAACTAAACAAAATAAATCAGATAAAAGTATAAAGAGAAAGTACATATATATATGCGTATTATTTTAATAATTTGTAAGATATAAATATGTCTCTTATAAAATCAGTCAAAGGCAAAGACCAACGCACAACTTATGAAAAAATTGAACTTCGAATACGAAACATGGTCAAAGAATTTTATACTGTTTCTAGGAACGAATATTTAAAAAAAGTCAAATCAGTGTTTAATTTCTGAACGACTACATTATTTACTTTCAATTATTATTCGCTTAGCGTATTTGTTTGTTTATTGTAAATAAATACTATTTATCTCTGTTAATAATTTATATCGATATATTTTTTGAAGTTGAGAAGTATTTTGTCTATTAGCTGCTAAGCATCAGTTTCTGCTCGTTCAGAATTCAAATAAAATTTAAGAAAAAAATAGTTTATCATCTTTTTCTCAATTCACGCGCAGGTATCCATTCGCACAACCGTCGTGTGCGTAAATGTCGGCGCGGAAGTGTCATGCGCGCAAATATCGGTCAATCTAATAACTAGCACTTGCCACCTGTTGTAATTTATAATATAGTGAGAATGTAATATAATATAACATCAACAGATATATATAATACTCACGTTCGAAAAATTTCCGGTCAATTATATTCTCTTGCGTTCTGTTTCTTCTAGCATATGTATTATCCTCTCCTGTCACTCTCTATCGATAAGCATTTTCCATTCTGTTCTTCTTCTTATATAGGTATTTTTCTCTCTTGTCATTCTCTCTATCGACAGGTATTTTCATCTCTTTCATATACGAGGGATTAATTCTCTGTCTATGTTATCTTAGCTTTTATATTATTCTAGGGATGTTCATTTTAGGGATTTTCCTTTCATATTCATATATAGATTTTCTCCTTTTGCCAATCTATATATAGTCGTTCATTTTATGTCGAGTGTGTGTGTGTGATAAATAAAGTTCAAGCAAATAACAAGCTTCACAAATAAATTCTATATTTTTCTCAGAATATTTTTATTTCTATTTCTTGTTATTGTACAGATGATGACCGAGTGAAAACATCTTGAAAAAGTAGAAAATTCTATTAAAATATAAAATATAAATAAATATCATAGAAAAACTGCCTTTTCTCTCTCTCATTCGGAGAAATATATAGAATTTACGTTCACGTCATTGATATAAATGTTGACTCTTTGACCGGGAATTTTTCAGACGTGAGTATTATATATATATATTGATGTTATATTATATTACATTCACATTATATTATAAATTACAGCAGGTAGCAAGTGCTAGTTATTATTATTACTTTTATTTCTATGTCTATTTCTCGTTACTGTACTGATGATGAACTCGAGTTAAAACATCTTGAAAAGGTCGAAAATTCTATTAAACTATAAAATATTAATTTTTTTTAAAAATTGATTAGGTATTTTTTAATAGAGCTGTAATTCTCTATTGTTCTGTATCGGTTTGCTTTATTTCACATTTGTGCTGAGAAATAAGTGATCTATTACAGAGGTATACTCCTTTATAAACCATAAAAATATGAATTTCTCTATCATTCTCCCTTCTAATTCCAGTTTAATACAACTTTTATTATGATTATAGATATAACTATTCAGATTTAATTTCTTCTTTCACAAATAAAAACAACTGAGTTTTTATTTTAAATCATCTTTGTTTTTCATTATAAAATTTAGTTTAGTCTTTAAAATCGAACGCAGCTTTTATACTATCATTCGAATATAAGAATACACTTGTGTTTTCGAGCGATATTATTTTCATTAATCTTTGTAGTGTAAGTTAGTGTGAGGGTGTGAGACATAGGTGCAGATCAAGAGCACAAACATCTGCACTCACTTAACTTCAAGATGTTTTCTAACGATTTCTTGCAATGCATTGATTAAAACAACCGAAAAATAGTTTAGGTTTAATAGGAAGAACATGCGGCGAAAAGGTGAGTTTTTCGCAATATTCGTGTTGTCATTCGTTCAGTTAGCAATGTATTAACAAGCTCTGAAATGACGCTTTCAATAATTAATTATTCAAAAAAAAACTTCGCAGTTGTTGAAACGCAATAGTTCCATACGAGTTGAATGAGAGAAAATATAACTGTTACAATATATTAATTTCAGATTCCTGATTACTTGGGATTAGTGATCACTTCTTCATTTGGAATAGCATATCATCGAAGCAGTAATGACTTCAGAAAACATGACGATGGCAAAATCAACATCTATCGATACACCGAGAAGATCAGAAGAGATTGACGAAAATTATGTGATCATAGTTACACGAACAAGTCTCATTATTTGCAGTTTTACTGCATTCGTAAGTATATGGATTCTAATCTATTCTTGTAAAATAGCTTTCAGGGATGGTGTGACGTTTGAATTATTGGAAAATTCATATCTATTCTTTTCTTTTATGAGGGTGTGGGCGAGGGTACACGGTGGTGAGACTATAAGCAACAGTAAAGGCGTAAGTTATTCTTCTTGGACAATGCCAGCCTCTAGTCACATCCTCACTCTCGTGATTAGTATGCTCTTGATCGAAATATAGATCGCCCAAAAATCAAATTGTTATGATAGATATCTTCAATAATATACGATCAAACAATATTCGACGATCTCTATTTTAATAAAGTTCACTTCGACGATAAGTATTACGATCACTCTTACATCCTCAAAATACTTGTTTAACTGACTTTTCAATTGTTAAGATCTCTTTTTAAGATTACAAGTGTGATCAGTTTGATTTATTTGGGCCGTTCGATTCACCTTGATTACAAATCGAACAATATATCAAATGAAACTCTATTGGCGATGAGGATCGCTATATGGATTATACAAGGTAAACAATCTAATGAATTGACTATCAATAAATTAACAACACTTGAACATTATTAAAATAATCATTTTTTACACTACTAGGTACTGTATCGGTCGTTGGTTTGATCATTTTCTTCCTCTCGATCAAGAATTACGTTCGAATCGGTGCCCTAATGGTAATTCTTTTACATCCAATTCTTTTCTTCATTTTTCTTTGAATATTATTTGCTTTCTGCTCCATTGCAGGCACGTTGGCTCTGTCTCTTTTGTAGCATACGAGATTCAATTTTTGGTCTAATTGTAACAATTGATTCAGTTTTAAGTGAAGTTTCTCCCATAGTTACAATCAGATGGGCTTTCTTGGCAATACTTACTAGTGGAATTTTAGTAAGAATATCTTTGCTTTTGTCATTTTTATTCTAATAGTATTTTTTTTTATAGCTTTGGGCATCTAATTACTACCGTAAACAGGGTCTCTTGGTAAAAAATCATGAAAATCAAACAAACGTCTGAGTGGTTTACAAAACTAACAAACTTATTGAACACATAACTTTGCTTATCTTTTATTTCGAATTTTCAAATCTGTTGTACATGTTCAAAAAATATTTGTGTTGTTAAACTTTACTATCTTGAAAGTATGGATGAGAATAAAATAAATAATTCAATATTTCCATTCAGACTCTTAAGATGCTTTATTTCATTTTCAATAGCTTGTTCATATAAATTGATATACTATATCACAAATACAAAACCAAGATGAACCTAATTTAATATCGTTTATTAGATAATTCAAAGTTTTTCAAATAATAGCATGACAACTGTAAAAATCAAGATCCGAAACATGTCAAGGGTGACTGTGGCATGAATATAATATCACCACCCACCTTCAAGATGGTTCAGATTATTGTTCTATCGATCTTAGTAACCATACTCTAGATGATCGATTACCTGAACTCGAAGCAGTTTCTATCAGGATAGCAAAAAATGATTAGAAATATATGAGGATGTGAATAAATAGTTATAGTATTCGCATTGACACACATAACGAGTTTTATATCTTTTTTTTGTTTCTTCTTTTTTTTGTATATTCAAACGTACTGATTAACAGGATAGACTTTAAAAATATTTCAAATGAAAATAGAAGAATTTTATTCGATTATAATGGTATAATTTTTAACTGGAATATTATCAAAACCTCCACCAATAAAAGTTGGAATAAGACTTGTTTGTGGTCCATTTTTAACACGAGTTATAGTTAATATTTGTTTTATATGAAAATTTTTCTCATTGAAATACAGTTGTTTTGGTGTCCATGTAAAACAATCAGCGCATTCGTCTGCTTTCCAACGGATTTGAACAGTATCATTTCCATCAATTTGATGTGGAGGTGAAGGAAGCCATACTTGAAATTTTACATTTTTATTTAAATCTATTTTTGTAGATTGTGGATTATAGGAAATTCCAAGCATGACATCTCGACAAGTACGAGCCCAATCTTTTGGAATAGAATCAAAATATTTATCATCTGGTTTTCCTACTGATATAACTAAATAAGTTCTTGTATATTGTCGAACTTCCCATGGTGTTTCAATAACTTGAGTTGATCGAACAGGAATATCAGTATTTTTTCGAAAAAAAATTTCTTCACATGGAACATCTTTTGGTCCTTCAGGATGACATAGTTCTTTTGAATACCAATAATCTTCATATACAGAAGAATCATTTGAATATATCATTTCATATTGAAAATTCATGAAATTTTTTATTTCAAACGAAGTTCCATTGTTCCAATGAGAAGGAAATGCATTAAATGTACTTCCGCCGTATTTCCAATAGGTTCCATAAATGCAACCGATATTAGGAAAACCTTCTAATAATTGAACATAATATTTTGACTGTGGTGAACCAGGAGTTGCATAAGGAAAATTTTTTAAAGCATATGCCGTTTCTGATTGTTTAATACTATAAGAAGCTGATATATAAGCTCGTTGATTAACTTCATCAATTGCATATAGTGTTGCATCATTAGCAAAAAATAAAAGTTGTGATGGAAAATAAGGTTGCACACAATCACCAAAATAATAAAATAAAATAAATGATATATAATGCAAATATATTTTCATTGTTTTTTTTCAGTTTTAAAAATACTTCACACGATATAACTTTATCAGTATATATATATTTTTTTTTCTTTTTCTTTCTGTGATAAAATAAAATAAAACACTATGAAATGCTGACTCGATTAAAAATCGTCGTACGATATTTTCTGACATGTATGATGAGAACACCTGTATCAATTTCAACTAAAATAAATCGGCCTTGGATTTCTTTGTTTTGTCGAACGTTATAAAATCTCAATTGAAATATATTGATTATCTATAAAATCCAATTTTGGGTGTGGATGAGAGAGAAACAGATAAACACCCACACCCAGCGTTGGCTTGATTAAGCTGATTTGAATTCTAAAAATATATCAACTCACTAAAGAATTACAGTTCATCACACATTTATTTCACGTTCTTTCTAAGAATGAAAGACGTTAACATAAATAAATATTTATAAAGTATCGACAAGCAAAAAAGTAGCCTATATTAGGCTACTTTATTCTCAAAAATTTACATTTGAAAATATACAAAAAAATTCTTAATTGTATATACAAAGCGAGCTGATATGTTTTTAAATCGAAGAAAGTGCTTGCTATCTAATATCTTTGAAAAGGTGCTTCTTGACCACCAACAAAATCACCAAAATAACCAGGTTGATTTCGTCTACCACCAGCTCTATGTTGTCTACCTTGTCTGGCACCAAACGGTGCAGCCCCATTTTGTCCATTATAAAATCTACCAGGTTCCTCAAAACTCCTTGGTTCACCGTTAAAATATCCATGCCTATTTCGTTCATTATGAAATCTACGAGGTTCCTCGAAACCACCGGGTCCAACATTAAAGCCCCCATGTCCATTTCGTCCATTGTGAAATCTACCAGGTTCCTCAAAACTCCTTGGTTCACCGCTAAAATATCCATGCCTATTTCGTTCATTATGAAATCTACGAGGTTCCTCAAAATCCCCTGGTTCACCGTTAAAATCTCCAGGTCCATTTCGTCTACGATGATATCTGCCAGGTTCAACGAAACCACCTGGTCCACCATTAAAGCCTCCAGGGCCACCAAAGTTACCTTGACTACCACGGAATCTACCAGGCCCGCCATGGAATCTACCCGGTCTACCAAAGTTACCATGGCTACCACGGAATCCACCTGGTCCACCAAAATCATCAAACTCGCCATTAAAGCCTCCAAAACTACCGCCTCCATTCTGTAAACCACGTCGAAACATATTGTGTTGCATGCCTACAAAATCAGATGTACCTAACATTAGCAAGTGAAAGTCAATCTATTAAAAATTCTGTGTAACTTACCTTTTAAAATGATGATGACTAACTATGTCAAAAATGTTTTTAACTTCAATCTTAGAAAACTGTTTCTTCACCGACCATATTTATATACAGGTTTTGAACTACTTAAAACAACGTTTTGTTTTTTACAACGATATAGCTGTCATACGCTTTTTGATCTTCTTGTTTCATGGATATGGTACAAAATCGAATTACTCATATGCTATCAATCGTTCTTTATTTCTTATTTTTAGTTTTGTTTTCTGTTCACTTTGTGAAAAAATATATTTATGACGATAGGCATCAGCATAACGATATAATTGTAAATTTAGCGGGGAGTGCGTATAACAAAATGTTCGAAGTGTGACTTATTAGACATCATATTTCTTTTTTGATATTTTGTGCAATGAAAACAAACGTTTAGTACATATGATGTTTTTGTAGGGAAGTCAAGAGGGATGCAAAACATATTTCTCATATTTAATAATATTATAAACAGCGCGTGAGAAGTCCTGACTCATTTTGAAAATAAATTTTTCTTCAGTAAAGTAAGTATTAGAACACACTCTATTTAGTCTTTTATTAATAAATTGTTAAGCATTGAAAAGGCGATTCAGAAAAAAAATCAAATAATGGAGTGAGAACGATTTGAACACTTACGAGCGAACTTCTTCAGGTGTTTAAGCCGTTCAGATCTCAAACACCTTTGGAAGTTTCCTCGGTAGTCGGACTGCATTACAACGTGTTAATAGATGAGTTAGAACGAAGAAAAAAGGAAGACATTTTCACAGGTTGCAATAATCATAGTTAACTAATCGAGAGAATTATGAAGGGAAATGAAAAAGGTGTAGTTGAGATTCGAAATCTTTGACAATGATATGACATCATCTTTCGGCCATTGTTTAATATACGCAGAGAGAATTTGGTAAAGAATTTTTTTGAAGATGGTAGTGTGAGTCTAATTATTTTAACAATCGATAGTTAAACATATATCCATTCATTTGTTCAAGATTGAAAAATTGAATTTGACAATTAGAATCAAGTCAAAAGACATCTATTAATATCTTGAGCATAGATGAGCTGTTTCGAACAGAATAGCTCCATGTTATCATGTATATAAAGAACAAATTTTTATTTTTCTCTGCGTTAGATAAACTTTTTTTTTATTATTTTTCATAAAGACAACGTTCGCATGTCTTATCAGTTTTGTCGAGTCGGTAGTAAAAAGTCTCGATAATACTACACAACCAAATTTTATCTTGTATTTGAATAGAACATTCGTCGAAGCAGCACGCTATAATCGATAGAATGTCTTCAACACCGTCTTCGCAGGTTTGTTTTATATTAATCAATTGTAACATTAAAGTACTTATTCACAATGATATTGATATTTTATAGCAAAAAATAAATTCATCGAATCATGTTACTGCTGGAACATTACGAATTAATGAAAAAAGCTATTTTGACAAACTCAAAGCCAAACATAGTAAGAAAAAAGCAAAGATTAATCAATATTTCGGTTGTTTCTGTATATATTTGCATGAGTTAGGTATAGCATTAAAGTGAGAATTTACCATTTTCTTTGACGACACGAGACAACTAATAGAAGCAATTTATAACCTCAATCATTGAGTTTAAATTAATTGCAGAGCATATTTTTGAAATATTTAGAAAATGTTCAATCAAAAATTACCGATATATCCAAGACTTACTATTGTCAAACGGGAATTTTGACACCTTTTGATCTATTTGAACATGCACTTTATATTATTCGTATGTACTTTTTTAAAACTTTTAATTGATTTTAATATTATTGCCATGTTGGGTACACCTTTTCAGTTCATTTATCAAATGAAGGTGAAACTGCTGTGATAGATGCCTGTCGACAACTGCCAAAACTTAAATCATCACTGATTCAATCAAACCCTAATTGTAGATTAGAAACAACCTTAGGAATTGGATACTCAAAAACTCGTGAATGGCTTGCAAGAGCAAATATTCCTTTTCCAAAATCTTTTATAGAATTTCAGAGAAAAGAAGGTCCTACAGGGAAAACAATGCCAAGTACAGGTAACATGAATTATAACGCTGTAGTCTAAGATAAAAAATAAATAATATTATTTATAATTCAACATTTTAGGAGGAGACCTACTTCTTCATATTAGAAGTAATCGAAAAGATCTCTGTTTTGAAATAGGTCGACGATTTTATCAATCCATTCCTGATACATGCATTGCTCAATTAGATGATACTTTTGGCTATGCATATATGAGCTCGAAAACAAATGGACTCTCGCAAGATTTCATAGGCTTTGAAGATGGCAATGAAAATCCGAATGGCAATGAACAGAGAGTATATTAGATTATTATGATACGCATTGTATTATACTATAAATCTTATTTAGGCAAAAGCTGCACTTATAGGAAAAGAAGAAGATGAGATGATACATGTCGGAGGATCTTTTGCGTTGACACAAAAATGGAAAGACAATTTGATTAAATGGAATGGGTATGTCAGAATTTTTGAGAATAATTGATAGACATTGAATCTTGCTTGTATAAACTTAGAATACCACAAGACGAACAAGAAGCTGTAGTTGGAAGAACGAAAGGTGAAGATAGTAAAAAGATAAGACCAAAGCAACGAACATCTCATGTTGCTCGAACAGATCTTAAAGAGAATGGTGTAGATATTAAAGTAGTTCGACAATCACTGCCATATGGAGATTTAAAAGAACATGGTCTATTCTTTATTTCATATGCTTCCGATACTAAAAAACATGAAAAACAGCTCGATAGCATGGTTGGCATGGACGATAACATATATGATCGAATTATGGACTTTTCAACGCCAATCACAGGAAATTACTGGTTTATTCCTTCATTAAATGTTCTTGAAAAGATTTTTCAATAATCATATTAAAAAAACCATTTGTTATATCATATCTCTTTTTATTTTTCCATTTCTTACTTAATTCTTGTTCAAAATATTAATTTAAGGGACTGGGTGCATCTGTTATATCTGTTCCTTGTAGATATTCACACTTAAGTTCACATTCATAATTTTTATCGATGAGAATTTTTGTTATATATGGGATCAATTTTCTAGATTTACGATACTAAATATGATTTGGAATTAAATGCGTGGAAAATTTAGATGGAAGTCATGAATGAAGGTGCCAACGAGATAAAACATCGGATTAGTGTAACACTAAAGGATTTTCCAAAATAAGAGTATCAATCTATTCTATGGTTATGTGTTAAAGTCGAATTGTGTTTTCTGATGATGCTACACGTTTTACCAAGAAATCATGAAAACTTTGCCATTATCATAAAATGATGGATAATATAATACAGTAGTTACCAAAGTCAAGCTAAGAACCATCTATAACATCAGTGATACCTTTGATAAGACTCTGAAAATGTGCATTGAAGCACGTAATATGTTCCAATGAATTTAACCTTGCTCATATATCTCACTAATTCATGGTCATAATACTATCGGTGACATTTATTTAGTTCATAACAGAAATCCGTTGCTCGTGAATAGATAATTTGTTTGAAAGCATTAGCTGAATTATATCAACAATATAATATAATAGTAGATAAGCCATCAGGTTTTATCTTGCACAATTGTCACTCTGAGACATATCCTGGAAAGAATGATACAAATGTAGATTACTTTATCATGAAACTAGAAGGGAAATCCACACATATAGGACAAACAAAAACTTGAAACTCTTGACAAAATTTTACAGATTTCTTGAGAAAAATGTTCACTTTGAATGTCATTCAACCTCGATTTGTTTAATATTGAGGGTGGATAGCTGAGATTTGAAGGATCACTTCAGGTAAAAGACAGAACTCTAATGTATATATAATTCATCACAAGTAGATACTGTTTTAGTACGTAAGTTTTACATAAATTCTGAATTATATATAAATTGAATCAGAAAAAGGGCAGATGTTTTCAAATTAGTTATTATCAAGAATAGAATAAACAAAGATTAATTGTGAATGACGTGATTAATAATGTTAGTGGAAATATATATTTTAGAAAAATGACTCGACTTGACAAATATCCAATGGCACCAGTTTATTTTACATTTATAGCAATCGAAAACAGTCTTTTGACATGGTGAACAATATTTAGTAAAGGTGACACGTCCTACTTTAAGAATTATGAAACGAAAAGCTCAATATAAAAAATAATTGATATAGATTTCAGTCTCGAAAAATTCTGATAAATAAATTATAAATATTTTGACTCTTTTAAAACAATAATATTTTTACTTCTGATGTTATGAAATTTAATATCTATATTATCTGAAGCTGATTTGAATTCTAAAAAGATATTAACTCATTAAACAATCACAATTCATCAAACATTTATTTCACGTTCTTTCTAAAAATGAAAGATGTTAACACAAAAAAGTATTTACAAGGTATCGACAAGAGAAAAAATAATCTGTATTAGGCTATTTTGTTCTGAAAAATTTACATTTGAAAATATACAAAAAAATTCTTAATTATATGTACAAAGCGAGCTGATATGTTTTTAAATTGAAGAAAGTGTTTGCTATCTAATATCTTTAAAAAGCACCCATTTGATTACCAACAAAATCACCAAAATCACCAGGTTGATTTCGTTTACCACCAGCTCGATGTTGTCTACCTTGTCCACCGGCAGACCCATTTTGTCCGTTGCCAGGTTTACCTTGTCTACCACCGAGCGCTGCAGCACCATTTTGTCCATGATGATGTCTGGCAGGTTCCTCAAAACTACCTTGTCCGCCGTTAGAACCTGCATGTCCATTTCGTCCATTACCAGGTTTACCTTGTCTACCGCCAAACGCTGCAGCCCCATTTTGTCCATTATGATGTCTGGCAGGTTCCTCAAAACCACCTGGTTTGCCGTTAAGGTCTGCAGGACCATGTCGTCTACGATGAAATCTGGCGGGTTCCTCGAAATCACCTGGTCCACCGTTAAAGCCTCCATGTCCATTTTGTCCATTATGAAGTTTGACAGGTATCTCAATATCACCTGGTTCATTTTGTCCATTATGATGTTTGCCAGGTTCCTCGAAACCACCTTGTCCGCCGTTAAAGACTCTAGATCCATTTCGTCCACGATGAAATCTGCCAGGTTCAACGAAACCACCTGGTCCACCGTTGAAGCCTTGAGGTCCTCCAAAGTTACCTTGACTACCATGAAACCCACGGGGTCCGCCAAAGTTACCTTGGTTACCACGGAAGCCATTAAAGTTACCTTGACCACCATGGAATCCACCAGGTGCACCAAAGTTACCCTGGCCACCATGAAATCCACCAGGTCCACCAAAGTTACCCTGACTACCACGGAAACCACCAGGTCCACCAAAATTATTAAACCCGCCATTAAAGCCTCCGAAACTACCGCCTCCGTTCTGTAAACCACGTCGAAACATATTGTGTTGCATGCCTACAAAATCAGATATAGATAATATTAACAAATGAAAGTCAGTTCATCAAGACTTCTTTGTGTAACTTACCTTTTGAAATGATGATGACTAACTATGTCAAAAATGTTTTTAACTTCAATCTTAGAAAACTGTTTCTTCACCGACCATATTTATATACAAGTTTTGAACTACTTAAAACAACTTTTTGTTTTTTTACAACGATATAGCTGTCATACGCTTTTTGATCTTCTTGTTTCATGGATATGGTAAAAAATTGAATTAGTCATATGCTACCAATCGTTCTTTACTTCTCTTTTTAGTTTTATTTTCTGTTCACTTTGTGAAAAAATATATTTATGATGATAGTCATCAGTATAACGATATAATTGTAAATTTAGCGAGGAGTGCGTATAACAAACTATTCGAAGTGTGACCTATGAGACATCATATTTCTTTTTGATATTTTGTGTAATGAAAACAAACGTTTAGTATAGATGATGTTTTTGTGGGGAAGTCAAGAGTGACGCAAAACATATTTCTCATATTTGGTAACATCATAAACAACGCGTGAGAAGTCCTGACTCATTTTGAATAATAAATTTTTCTTCAATAGAATACACACTTCACAACGTAGAAAAAAGCAGTTCAGAAAAAACATCACCATTAGTTGTGAATTTTTCTGAATTTATAAAAGAAAATAATGGAATGAGGACGACTTAAATATTTGGTTGATTTACAAAACCAATTTAAAGTCATCATAATATTACTTTTTAACGCCAAACATATTTGCTTTACTGCAAAAAGAAAATTTCGAACCCGGTAGCAAATTGAAATTTCTTTTTGAGTTACTAAAAATCATACAAAATCCACCAAACACTTTTTCGCAGATGAACTAAGTGCTCGAATCGTTCTCACTCTATTATTTTTTTTTCAGTTCTAAAAAATTCACAGATAATTCTGACTTTTGTTTTGAACCGTCTTTTTCTGTGCATACAAGTTTCTAAATGTAAGTGCTAATGGAGTTAATCAAAAGCCAATTTGTAGTATCCATTTTTACTTAAGAAAAATTTATTATTCAAAGCGAGTCAGAACCTCTGGTTCACTTTTTACTGTCTATTTGAAATACTCTTTAGTTCATGCAAGCTTATTCTTTTACGCACAATCGTTTATATAAATGAATCATTATATTGATCAGAATAATGTGTCACTTTTTATTTTCTCAATAGATCTCAATCAATCAGCGACAAATGTAATTGTTTCTCCACCATCTGATCTGGTTCATGTTGTAACATTGACATATCACATAATCGTTACTTTTTTTTGATTCAGCTTTCGATGCATCATATTTTTGAACGTATTATCAAGGCGATGATAATTCAATACGAAGAACAACGTACATTAGACAACAAAAAGATTATTTCTAATTCGTGCGTAGGTTTTATTTCTATCATAATTAAGTTATTCATATCGATCGCTGTTATATATATATATACAAAATTCAATTGAAAAGAAAGATATAGTATATAACAAAATAAAAGAATGGTTTATCAATCGATTAGATTCTCTTCGTCATATATATAATTATAAATAAGGAACGACAAAAGTGAGAACAACGATAGAAAGTTTCTTTAGAAAAGGTAAGTGCATAAGTTTGTATATTTTGTTTCAATAATAAAAGTAATTTTTATTGTCAGTTGGAAAAAAAGAATTTATTTAACTATATTCTTAATTTAGATATATACAGACATATATACTGAAAAATGACAAATTCTGCTATGGATGCATTAGTTAGTGCTGGTCTAATGCCATTACCATCCAAATCAGTGGATGAACATAATCTAGATGCAGCGATAAATGCAATAGCAAAAGATCTCACTCTAATTTTTGATGAACTTGAAGCTGAAACTAAAATTGAAGATAAACGAATTGCTGAGGCTATACTTAAAGTAGTACCTTATCCAACACTTGTTGATTTAAAATCAATAATTGATGAACAAAAATCAATCATGGATACAACCATTCAACCTCCATCGATTGAACCATTAGAAATTTTTCTCACACAACGTGTAACAACAATCAAAGGATTACAAACACTTCGAGCTAGTATGGCTAAACATATTCGAAATTGTCGAATTACGAATACAGTTGGTAATTCTGCATCGATTATTGGTGGAACTTTATGTTTTTTCTTTCCAACTATTGGTGTTCCAATATTACTTGCTGGCAGTGCAACTAGTCTTGGTATATGTTTATTAAACGAATTTTTTTTCTTAATCTTTCGAATTTTTGTAGGAACTGCAATTGCAGGAAATATAATTGAGAAACGTCTTCAAAAGAAATATACTGATCTATTAGAAAAAGATTCGTTAGCAGTACAAATATGTGAATCAAATTTAAAAGATATTACTACATGGCTTGTAACGATTTATTCACTTGGTTATTCAGTATCAAAAGCTGGAGCTAATTTTTTACAACTTGCTGAAGCTATTCATGCAAGTTCAACATTAAGTGTGTGGTCTGAACTAATTGCACAACTGCCATCATTGAGTACTGCTTTTGCAACAGGCGCTAAAACAGCTGGAACGATCAGTGGACAAATACTTGGTATATCATTGATTATTTCTGTAGCTGATCTTATACAAACATGGATATTAAAAAATGCAACATTAGAAGCGATCGATAAAGATATTGCATTACTTGAACAGCAACTAATTGAATTAAAACAAGTTGTTGAGGTTTATCGTGCTTAATCAGAGCTTTCTTTTTCTTTCTTATGATAAATCTGAAAATACTCAGAATTGAACATGTTATCTTAATAATACCGAATGTTCCAAAAGTTACGATGTTGAAAGAAAAATAAATATCTCCCTAACGCCGTAAGCTGATTTGTTTTATCAGTGATAGAGACAAAACCTATGTTAAGTGTCATCAATAACTGCATACAAAAGAGAAAAAAATAGTTTATTATAATGAAAAGATTGTTTCTTCTGCAGATAAAGTATAATCAAACTACAGATAACATTCTTTCTATTCTCTTCTTCTTCTTTTCTTTTTCATATGGTAGAAGAAAAATGCTCTTGTTGTTTTTTGAGGAGTCACTTTTGTTATTCATTATTTTAGAGAAGTATTTCGTTTTTTTTTCGATTCTGAAATATACATAATTTTGATCGCACAACTTCTCATATGCTCAATGTGACAAATTCCATTCATCTCTACCTCTTACATATTCTTGACTGAACATGCCCGCTATGCATGCACATATACATCGGTCATTTTCTATTATTTACTCTTTCTTTCTCGGCCGTTATATAGTTGTTCATTGTTCATTCATTCATTCATTCATTCATTCAGTTAAATAAAGTACGAACAATCAGTCATTCTGTTACACTCAACAAGTAAGATTCCAGCAGCTCCAAAAAAGAGAGCTCACAATTAGATCAAGTTCTAAGTAATAAGAGATTTGAAGAACATTCTTTAAGACTCCAACTATAATAAAACTGATCAGAGCTATAGAATTTGTTTTATTCGAAAGTATAGTTAACGGATGTTACAGTCTTCTTTTGATGAATGATGAATTATTTAAATTATGAGATCTATTAATAGTTTTGCGTTCGTTGTTTTTCTATAGCTAAGAAAAATGTGTTATAGTTGAGTTTAGATTGGTGGTACATCAATAATCTATAACATCTTTACTGCTTTGCATAGAAAAGCATAATGACAATGTTATCATACTCGTCTTATATCATCAATTAAAATGCATCATAATGTATTTCTTTATGCGGTTGCTTACCGAAGTGGCTGTCGTTGTATTACACGGTGTGCATGTAATACACTCTCGATTTGTGTGTATATGATTTTAAAAAATCAGCGAAGCTTGAGTATTTAAGAAGAGAGAAGTATATATGTAGGTGTCCCTTTCATCACGGGTTATAACTAATGAAGCGAAAATTTTCGTTTTTACCTATTGAGATAGAATAGTCACTTCATTTTTATGAAATTATGAGTAATACTATATATAACAGTTAGTGATGGATGCAATTCATCACATGTACCTTTCAAAATCTTAAGTTAACTTTTTTTTCTTTAGAACAAATTCATGACCGAAAACAAAGTGAATCTTGCCTTCAAGGAACAAAAAGGACGTTGTTTAATCACAAATCAAAATGTTTCACAAGGTGATATTCTATTAGTATCGAAACCATATGCCATCGTTCCATCAATAACGAAAAAAAATGATATATGCGCTAATTGTATATGTATTTCGAAACACCAAACTCATCCAAGAGAGATGATCGTATGCCGAAAATCTTGTCATCATGTATTTTATTGTTCTAATAAATGCGAACAACAACATTGGGAAAAATTTCATCAATATGAATGTTCGTTTCTCGATAAAGTATGTGCCTTACAAGATAATGATTACGTTATTAACTATGCTCTACTTGTCATGCGTATGCTTACTCAACGATTACATGATATATTAAATACATCACCGACTGTTTCATCTGAAGATGTTTGGACGATGTTATCACACTTTGATGAATTTACAAAAGAGAAAAAGAATGAATTTGAAACGGTCGCCAAAATATTAACAGAATATATATTGGTTAAACTCATTCCTCATTTAATCAAAGATAGTCATGAATTTATTGGTTCTATTCAATCCTTTCTACCTGATCACACAGATGCTAAAAAAGTCGAAATTAACAACTCTGATCAATGGTTATCTCAAATGATTCATTTATGCTTACTTTTCAATGATGATACTACTATCAAAGTAGTAAAATATCTACTAAATAAAGTATACATTGTTATCTGTATGGAAGAAGTAAATTCATTCTTTCATAGAACATTCGTATACGATGGATACTCTCAACCACCTCATGTCTATGCACTGGGAGTGTACCCATTTGCTACTTTTATCAATCATTCATGCTCACCAAATGTAGAACGTTTTTCAGCTGAAGAAGATGGAACCAAATTTCATATGGGTGATATTGTCTTCTTTGCAACACACTTAATGAAACAAGGTGAAGAACTAGGTTTAAGTTATTTGAAAGGACAATATGACCTTTATATCAAAGATCAAGTTAATGCTGATGAAATCATCAATAGTCAAGTAAATAGAAAACAAAGAATCAAAAATGAATATTTCTTTGATTGTGAATGTACACGTTGTTTGAATGAATCCAAAGGTGAACTTGATAAATCTTTTATGAATTTCGTAAAAGAATTCAAATGTACCAATTTAAAATGTCAAGGTTGGTTTATTCCATCCTTTGAAAAACAGATGTATTGTGAAGCATGTAAAATATCACGATAAAATGTATTCTTTTCTATCTATGAATTATTTTTTTGACTGAATGTAATTCTTGTAAACTTCAAATAAATAAAAAATATAAGGTTTATTAAAAAAATAATCACTCATAACTGTTTAGTAGTTTATAATTGATTACACAGTATGACGAAGATTGTTGAGCGATTCAGTTGCTCTGTGAAGAAATTTTACTATGCTAGATTCATTGTAATAGTTAGCAACTATATGCATGTACACTAATTATGTGTATCGCTGAGAACCAACTCTAATTTAACTGTCAATTTAGTTACGCGAGAATGTGGGTATTTAGGAATATGAGAATAAGCGATGAATGTTATATCTACACCCACACGCTTCTTTTAGATAAATCTCTTCACAATAAATATTATTCATAATATTTGATTAGTCGATAACTCCTTCTTCAAGCTTATTTGATCGAAAAATAAAATAGGAAATATTTGAACACGTGTATATTACATTTTCTCTCTCTCGTTTTGTGTTGTTATTATAATTTTAATATTGAATCAACAGAGAATGATATCTGATGACTGTACTTTACTGTTATTCCTGCCTCTCATTCGTTGTCGATATAATGCTAACAAGAGAAAAGAAAAAAATAGTGTGTGCATTTGAGTATATTTTATTTTATCTTTCTAATAAAAAAGCTTTTTTTTTGACAGTTAAAGACATAGTATAAAAGCCATTGATTAGTTATGCTCTTCTAAATAAAAATGAGATGTAGAGTACTATATGACTTCGAAAGAGAATTTTAAGTAAACTTTCGCATATCTTATTCATTTCCACACTTTCATGTATTTTGTAGATATATATATAAAAAGACAAGTTCTTTTTTGTGTTTGAATAAAAATAAAAAATGTTCGTATTATTGTTAGTTTCACTTCTTCTTATCGGCAGTAGTCATACGCTACAATGTGTAACTAATTGTACAATTGATGAGCTTAATTTTTATCAACCACTTCAATTTAATGACAAACTATGCGAACAACGTATCTCAGCATCCAGGTGCTCTGTCGATTTGGATTTCAATTATTATACACATAAGTATTCTGCTATATTTGAACATAATACTGCATCACGAGATTTTATTTACATCAATTCACGATCTTATTTATCTTATAATGTTCGTTATCCATGTTCAAAAGATGCCAACTGTGCTCTCTTTTACGCACAAAATAGAGTGAATGAAATGAGAGATCGTGCTTACAATGTCACTCGTATATATGATCAACTTGAACCACTTATTGTGAATTCATCAAAATCTGATTCTATTCAGTGTTACAATATCAAAAATGCAATTGTTCAATGTGCACCTACAGAAATTTGTAATTTGGATTATGATCAAAGAGCAAATAAAATGAGAACACGTGGTTGTAAATATTTCAGCCTACCTACAGTTATGGTCTACAATAGTGAGACTTATTCATCTTTTGACATTGCTTGTAATCGTAGTTTATGCAATGATGATGTTACACTATCGAAAATTAAAACAATTTTTGCTGATAATCGTTTAACTGATGCCAATGGACGAATAATTGCTGTGGGAACAAAAACGATTGCTTCTGCTGTTTTACTAATATTTATTTTAATATCTAAAGTTGTCTTTTATTTTTAATCTGAAATATTAATTAATAAAGAAATAGTTGATAATGAATAGTCAGCACAGTTGATTATACATGTATGTTTTTTATTTTTTCAATAGAACTAAAAATATTGATTATTATGTAGGGAATTATTATTTAAGCATTTATGTAAAATAATATTTTCACTTTGAGGATGTGTGCAGATAGATAGGTATATGAAACGAACATGAACACACACATTTTCAGGATCAATTGACATAAAAATATAAGAGATTCTTTTCAATTCATTTAGGACACGTTCTGATTTCATGATCGATGATAACATCCAAAAAAACGACTGAAAGGGTGAATAAATAATGTTAAACGAAAGTTCTTCATATTCTTTACTTAAAGTTGAATAAGCTTTCAAGGAAAGAAATATTTATGCATAGAAAACCTTTGACAATGAAAATTACTTTATCTTATGCTGAATGTAATCAAGTCTTTATTGATTGAAAAAAATATGGATAAAAATTAGTCTTATCATATGTTATTGAATCTTAAATTTTAAAATGATGCGATAAAGGTCGATTTGAATGAATTTTGGAAACCACATCAATAGTAAAGTTAGCAGTATAGTTCATGTATCTTACACTTCCATCTTGATTAAAAGACATCGGTGTCCAGTAATTGAAATCATGTCCTTTGAGACCATCGGGAGCACTTTGCCATTGATTACCTTGCCATAAATAACCATAACCTGTATCACTACTAGTTCTATACTGTAGAACATTGAACTGTTGAGCATGACCTTCATTTCCTAGATTATTCATTGTTTTATAAGGACCCAGCGGTGACGAAGAAGTATAAACAGTAACACCGGATCCTTCTTTGCAATAACAGCAACATTGACCAAATACTGCATAATAGATTTCATTGCGTTTAAACATCGAAGGAGCTTCGACAAAGGTTTCACCAAAAAATCCACTATTAAATGATTTACCTAGCGAACTAGTATAATCATCGGATAGTTTTTCTACAGACATTAAATGGTTAGGATTGTAGATAGTACCATCAATATGTGAAGTATAAATAATATAAGCATCGCCATTAGTATCTTGAAAAAGATTTAAATCACCAGTATTGTCCCATGCTAAACTAGTAACATTATCAGTGACCAGTTGAAAAGGACCATGTGGTGTATCCGATATTGCAACAGCAAATTGCGATTGAGAGACACCTGTGCCTGAAGATGGCAAGAAATTAAACCACATAACCCATTTTTTTGTCTTCGGATTTGGTAAAACACTAGGTCGAAATAATATTCCTGGAGTCTTCATTGAAGACATTTGAAAAGCATATCCACGAAATGTCCAGTCAGAAAGATTTGTTGAAGTATAAAGACTAACATTATGATTTAGTTGAAAACCGCATCCACCTGGATGCCATACAGAACAACCTGACGGACCTGGAGGTTCCTGGCATAAACCGTAACTTGCACCAAAGTAATAGAAGAGACCATCATACAAAAAGATATTACCATCATGAATATCCATTATATTTCCATCTGTGTCTCGACGAGGAACTACATTACTAATCGTTATATTACCACAAGCGGCGGTGTTGACTATTGCAGTCAAAAATATACTAATAAGAATTACATTCGTATGCATCATAATATTACTAAAATTGATAAAAAAAAATGATTATTTCGTGTAGTCACGCAGTAGTGCAACTGTTTCTCTACTAGTATCTATTCATTCTTGTTCTATGATACACTAAATTTTGATGCTTATACGTATGAAGTGAAACCTTTTCATGTTTTTTTTCTCTTTACCTGTAATATTCACTGAGTTACCAACACTTGGTTTGCAGTCGGCGAATATAATGTTTGAAATTATTATATGTTGGAGAACGAATGATAAAATTAAAAGATTCTTATTTTATCTTTGTCTTTATTTTCATACATAAAAGGTAAGCGAGATAAACTACTACATGATATCATACTGTCTAAATAAAATCTGATACGAAAACTAACTTAATGTGTTTACAACGTTAATGATAATACTAGTAAACTTGCAGATAGAGAAGCACAATTTACAAATAAACATTCTCAAATATCAACTCAATTTTGAGTCGAAGCTTTGTACGTTTTGTAGAACTTGATGAGTTGTATCTATGATGAAAAACGTTCGTGCCTATGAGTATGAATATCCTTCTCATCCAACATCATGTCCATATCCACCCTCTTACCGTCTACACTCACACACATTTGATCACAACGTCATCCACACCCTCGAGTTACATAAAAGCATATTATTCGTTTTGTGTGTTTTTATTGACTATTTTGATGATACACGTGCTTAGTTATACTCCTTCAGTTAGGATGTGAATAAGTGTAATTCTGGATATTCTGTTCGTCACACTTCTTGTTCACCTTATCCACGCATCATAGTCTATTTTTTATTCAAATTTCATTTATCTTAATTAGTTTCTCTTATTATTTTCCATATCTTATTTTTCGGTACAGGTATGTTTTCCATGAGAATTTCATATTGTTGATTGAAGCCTATAGTATGCTGGTCAATTGATACTACTTTAAAAAGAGTAAACGGTAACAGTAGGACTTCTTCTTCTCCTGGATAATGCGATATTCCGTTTAGATCGATCGCCGATGAACAGATCTGATCAATTCTGAAGTGTAGAATGATCGCTAATTTCGGGTCAGTTATAGGAAGTGGTGGAGCGAAAGAGCAAGCAACATCCTTACGTTTTGATGTTGACTGAAGACTGCGCGTTTCAAGAATGGCCGAATTTTCAAGAGCCCAGCGATAAGCATCAAGATCAGCATGTGACATTTTTGCACCACGATATACATGCCCACTAAAGGCTTGTTTACGAAGTTGTTTAAGGTGTAGATAAAGGAGGAATGTATAAGCATCAGCATCCGACTGTAATGCATGGTAAAGTGGCGTTTCAAGGGAATACAAGGTAAGCAATGGTATAACAGATTTAGTACTTATAAACTGTTCATATAAATATTCGGCAAGTTCACGTTGTTTATGTGAAGGTGGAATGTGACAATAGATGAGTAGATAAATACGTTCTTGGCTTTCTTTTTCTGTACGACTGCTGATAAATTGTTTCATAATTGGATCTTTTAATTGTGCTAAAGTTAACATTAACTGAGCATCTTTAGCTTCTGTTACGGTGTTGTGTCCTTTGTTCCAGTTGTTTGGACAATTAGTCGATGATGGACTATTTGATGCCAGTTGAAATGAAGAACGTTCATCATAATTATCGACGAAACGAGTATCTACATCTCTATCAGATTGACGAGCAAATAAGGAACGTATATTTGGTGACGTTGCTATATCATGAGCTGTAGTGCCATCTTTATTGATGATAATTCGACTACATGCCTTTTGTTCCAACAGAAGTTGAACAACTTTATCATGATTATTCTTACAGGCAATATGTAATGGACTGTGTCCAGTAGTTGGATCTGAACAGTTCAATTCTTCGTAAGTCAATGTTGACAAGAGTTCACGTACACGATCAACATTTCCATCACGACACGTCTCATAAAATTCTTTCGCTCGTTTAGATTGTGCGTGGCCCATGACAAATGAAAAAGCAGTAAAGTAATGCATATGCAAAAGAAATTTCTTTTTTCTTTCGTCATTATTAAAAATATTGTGAAGTTTAAAAATATCATGAGTGTGTCAAAGAAAACAAATAAAGCAGCGCGCTGAAGGTTTTTTTCTCATTTCTAACGCTGCTACCATTCACAATGAAAAATCAGGCAACTTGAAGCTTTTAATACTATTACGAGGGTGCAAAGAAAGCAAATAAAGCAGCGCGCTACGGTTTTCTTTTTCATTTCTGATGTTGCCGCGGTCCACGACGAAAAATCAGGCAAATTGCAATTTTTAATACAAATACGAGTGTTCGACAAGATTTTTTTTCAGTTTGGAAGCCAACAACATCGTTATTTTTTGCTTCTGTCTCAAAACTATATAGATGAGAATAGATGAGAATAGATGAAGTAAGTTACATATTTGAATGTTATGAAATCTGTTGAATTTTATTTACAATAAAATATAAATGGTAGCAATAAGAAAAATCCATTTTGTATAGTTAATGTTCTTTTTAAAATATACAATTTTTTACTCGATTAAGTTCCAATGCTGTAAATAAAATCTTCTAATTAGAATAATGTTGTGTGTATCTATCGTTGTTTTAAAAAATTAGAACTCTCTTTACATCATGCCAATAATGTCATTTAAGTGTGCAACGCTATATAGATTTGACAATAGATAAAATTATTTCTTGACAACTGTTCACCTTGACATTGCACTTACAGAACAAAAAAATTCAATACAATTCTAATATCAGAGAACGAAATTTTAGTGCAAAAACTTTTTTTTTATTTAGTTTTGAATCTTAGTAGGAGTCACGATCTGGATTGAAAGTCATCTTGAGGATATGAGTGAAATCAATATTTCATCTATTTTACAAGTCAAATTTGGATTTATAGCATCGTCCATCACCTCAATACAGGTTTTTATAGAGATCAAAACAGAGGTAGTTTTCTCATATAACTGAGCACATTTGCAATCATCTGTTGCCTATCAATGTGTACTATTAAGATCTTAGTTTTAATGATTGAATATATTCTCTGAGTAAGAAGTAGTTCGATGAATCGATACTATTTTTGTTAATTAATGAGTTCATGTCAGAAATGAATTTCAAAATAATTCAAAACTTTCATACATTGTATTTATGATACGTGTATGTTATATATAAATATATCTTATATATTTATGTAGTTACTAGAAGTTTCTGGAAAAGATTTTCATGGCTTACTAAGTATTCCTGGGGTCTAGTAGGAGTTACTAGGATCTACCATGACCAATAGCCCCGCTCTCACCCACATCCTGGTAGTCCCTAGCAGGTTCTAGTTTCCTTATGGTCCCTTATGTCCCTATCAGTCCCTACTAGACCCTACTAATTTCCACTGATCTCTACTAGGATTTAGTCTATCTTCCCCGAAAACTAATTGTGATAAAGTTTCTAACCTTTTATTTAAGAAACATATCTCGATTGTATAGCTTCTTAATAACTTTAGTGATGATTTATGTGAATTTAATTGTTTTCTGCATTGTTGTAGATTATAAGAAAAAAATGCAAGTACCTTTTTCAAAAAATCACAAGCAGCTTGCATTACCTACTATGGGTTATGCAGTACCTACCAAGGCTCATCAAGGTCCTCGCATTACAAAAGCACCTATCACTGTAGCAAATCATATAAAAGCATACTATTGGTTTTGTTTAATACTAGTGGTTGTTTTGGTAATGGGTGCTTTGGGTGGTATTGCTCTAGCTCTTGGGGTGGCTTCATCAACACAATGTTTGGCCTCTGATAACCTTGGTATTTGGTTATTCGCGTTTGGAATAGTTGATATTATTTTCTTCATATGTATTCTCATAACCGTAAGTGCATTTCTTCGTGTTTAAATCTGATTCCACGTGCATTAATTAAATTTTAAATTATTAATCACAAGTATTATTCTAAAGTTCTTAAATCTTTTAGAAAAAAATGATTGATAATACTGTGAAAATAGCTAAAAATCAAATTATCTTGTTTTTTTTCTAGGTCATTGTAAGAGCAATCTGTTGTACTAATCACAGTGGTTTATTGGGTTGTATTGCGATGGTTATGTATACAATCGTTTGTGTAACATTCTTCTTTGTTGGGCTATTTGAATTGGTTGAGTGAATTTTTCTCGATTGGTTAATAAACTCTATATCGTTCTTCTGATTTCAGGTTATTGGCAATGAAAATATGTTCACAATGAAATTTCGATCCAGCGCACAAACGCGTAGCTGCAATATACACACTCGAAACTTTGCCATACTATTATTTATACTTCTCACATTAGGACTTATTGTACCGTTTATCTATATATTTTTTATTGTTAGAGAACAATGCTTAAAAAGAAAAAGTTATAAAGTAGCTGTAGCACCGTAACAAATTAAAATTGCTCTTGTTTTTTTTCTAATTATTCCTAGACAAAAATCATTTTGTTACATATGATAAATAATACATATTTTCAATGATATTTGTTATCATTTTACTTCAAATCTATACGTTCAAGGTAAAAAAGCACGTGCTCCTTCTTTTAAAGCAAAAATCAGACTCAGAGTGCAATAACATTTTTAGCGAGCAAAGAAGGATTAAAAAGGTGGGTGTGAAATGAGAACCATATCACATCCTTTCCTACACTCGTACTCTCAAGATATGTTATTAATATGGAATTCTATCCATTTAATAAGAAGACAACATCTATCATAATATATAACTAAAATTAAGTTTAAATTAAAATATCTTTTAATATTATATTATTACTCTTATCCAAGCATTTCTAATTTGTACGTTGATGAAAGGATAATTAATTTTATTTTTATATCATAGACCAACTTTATTAATTTTACTAGTCTCAAATGAAGATAATATTATTAAGAAACAAAAAAAGTGATTAAAATAGACATGTTAGTAAAAATAAGACTAAAACACAGCATATAATTCAAGGAAACACGCAAGCGAGCATGGAACGTAATATTTCTATTCAATTATTAAAACTTTCTTTCATTTTTCAACTTCCGAAAAGCCATTATTCTCATATTAACTCTCCATAAAAACCTACACCTTTCCGTTAATAGTTGAAAGTTGAAATGATTTTCTTACGTATTACATGTTTGTTGTTTTTGTGTTTCGCCGACATGATAATCTCCGCCATAATTTTACGATAGCTCTGTCTTTTAATTGAAAACTATCAAACACTTCTTCAATATCTTCTAGTAAAACACCTTTCGTTTCTGGACAGCAAAGATATACGAATATTACACCTAACACACATAGACCACCGAAAAGATAAAATACTCCATGTATTCCTATTGGTGTTATTAACTCCAATATGTAAGCCATGATTATACACATAAACCAATGACTGGCTGTTGTTAGTGACATTGCACGAGCTCTAACATTAAGAGGATAAATCTCAGCTGCATAAATCCAACAGATTGCTCCCCAAGAAAGTGCAAAACAAACAATATAAATAACTTGAAAAATAAGCATTAATATACCAGAATGTTTTCCACAATTTACTACTTCATTCACTATAATATTATTCATGACAGTTTTAGTTACAGTACAACCGGTAAGAAATACTGTAGCTGCTGCAAGATGACCAATTACCATACCAATGCCACAAAATATAAGAAGTCTACGACGTCCGAGTCTATCAAATAAGAATAAGGCCGGTATAGTACTAAACATATTTGCACCGGACAAAATCAATAATGCGATAATACCTGAGCCAAGAACACTATCGAAAATAATACCACCAAATGCAAATATAGGGCTAATACCTGATGTTTGCAGAAAAATATGTATGCCCATACCTATACCAAGTCTTTGTAACATTTTCTTTTTTGTAAAGAGTTCTTTAATAGAAAGTTGATTGCCTTCTTCGCGTACAGCATCGGCAATAGCATTTAATTCACCAGTTACATCGGATATTTTACGAATACGCTGTAAACTTTTCTCTGCTGCATCTCGACCTTTTTTCTTGAATAACCATCGAGGAGTTTCAGGACAAAAAAATATACCCACAATAAGAATAAGTGGTGCAATTAAAATAACACCATTTGATAATCGCCAACCCCATTCATAATTTTGTAAAAAGAAATTGGCTACATTGGCAGCAAATAAACCAGATACGATGCCCATTGTCATAAAACCGGAAAGCATTCCACGTAGATTTGTTGGAGCTATTTCTGAAGCGTATAGTGGACACGAAAATGAAGAACAGCCGACGCCTGTACCTTCGACAATTCGTCCGATCAATATGAAAATCATGATCGGTTTTGAACCTCCCGGTGGTAAAATAACCATTAAAGTACCAATTATAAATAGAACTGCTGCAGTGAAAATAGTAGCACGTCGTCCAAATTTTTCTGCCACAAAGGAAGAAATAAACAGAGCACCAAGAAAACATCCGAGGTTATACATTAATGTAAAAAGTACTAAAAATTGTCTGTAGTCGGGAGGCAAAGCAGCTATTGATAAATCACAGACGCTTGCATTACCATACACTCCGACACAAAAGTCATTTTTAAATGAACTCATAATAACTATACCACCAGTAACGCCTTGATCATAGCCAAAAAACCATCCACCCAATGAAGAAAAAGCAGCCAGCAATATAGAAAAATATGGCTTTCCATAATGAATATCTTTATGTTGAAGATGATGATGATGATGATCAGTTCCACTTGTAGATTCTAATGCTATTTTCTTCAATGGCGTTTGTTCTCCACAATCAATTAATAAATGTGACGGTTCTGCTTCACCATCGCCTTCAAACTCTTCTTGTGTAGAGTTTTTACCTTTAAACACTTCCAAAGTATTTGTGTCAAAAGTAACGCCATTTTTCTTGTTTCGTACGCCGTGAATGGAGCTATCTGGTGTTCTAGGATGATAGTTGATTTTGGTAGGAATATCACTACTCATTGTAATAAATTTGAAACAATTTGTACATATAATATTGTAACACCACTAATAACCCAAGTTTTTAAAAACCTAAAAGAACTACCCCACTTTTGATACACGTCAAGGTGATAACAACAATATCATATAAAAAAAAAGAAAAGAAAAAGTGTAGATATAGAGATTACATTGTGTGAAGTAAGAAAAGAGAAAACAGAAGGCACATGAAAGTAAAAAAGAAAAAGAAAAAGAGAGTATAATATTACTATACGAAAGTGACGATAATATACCTTACTCAAATATTCGTGAGTTTATAACTACATAAGATACAAAAGTATTTATACATAATAAGAGATTTGAAAGTATCGTACAACAAATTCCATCGTTTTTTTTACCTCTATATTTTCGCTCTCATTATGTTGATAAAATTTTTATTCTTCAAACTATTTTCATTCTATATGAGTATGAATGAGAATGTCGATCAGAGTGAGAGCGAAAGATTGATATATCACTCATACATTCAACCACATTCACTCTCCATATGGATTAACTATTGATGTGTAAGATTTGAATAACAAAGATTACAATCAAATGATCTTAATGGAATAGAGAAATATGATTATGAGAGGGTAAAGATTGAATAAAAGATACATACTAGACAGAATC